TTATTCGCCACCCCCTCCTTCCCTCTGATTGTTCTGTGTGAAGCCAGCTGATAAGATTTCAAAGGATCGAGCCATTGTTTCTGAGAATTTGGGGTTCTCAGAGTGTGGCATTAATCAGACTACATAGTATGGATGAATTTGGACATATGGCTGAATTCTGCAGGTGCTCTTGATGAGATCTTGATAAACCCTGTAGCTACGTGCAAAAGCCTGAAGGTTGATTGTTTAAAAGAAGTAGAAGAGCACCGGTGGTGGATGTAATGACTTCCCAACCACATGTTAGCCAGCTTAATTTTGTTTGCTTTCTTGGAGTTGGTCCTACAGGATGGAATGGGAAATTTTTCAAAAGAAAGGATGCTTTGAAATTCACCTCCAGGAACTTTTTCATGGCAAGGTATTCTTGCTATTCTTTATTCCATTCCAGTAATTCCATCCAGGTTTTCAGAAGGATTTTTAGTGTGAACTACAAACATATTAGTTACTATGTGAGTAATTTTTCTGCCCAGGAACCCTTTGGCATTCTGGAACAGCTATTTGATGTGTGGTATAGTTTCTAAAAACTTTAGGTTATGGTGTAGACAGAATTGGCAGTACACAGAGAAGCATCTGAGATTGTGACAAGAAATAATCAAATAAAAATAGAAATATAAAAATTTATAGTGATAGCAGTGAATGACAATGAAAATTAGGAAGTTATTTCAGCTTCCCGCGTTCACTAGTGCTTGGAAGAATTCTAAAATATCTTACTTGATTATATCTAAATAAATTTTGATTCCTTGTTATACTTAGAAGAAGAATCATTCTTAAAGCAAATTACAGAGGTAAAAATATATGCGTTAATAAATTCTAAATGAATTCCTGTTTTAGGTTGAAACATTTAAAGTAAAACTTGTCACAACAATAAAGTTAGAAATAGATCTTGAATTAAGAGAAGGGAATTAGAAAAGAATGGAAAGCGGCCATGGGAGACAGAAAAGTAAAGGTGTGGAGTAAAATTCAGGAATGAAACAATAAAGTAGTTTTGGTGGTGCTGACTGCTTAACCTATCATTGAAAGACGAATACTATTTTGGATTTGACAGTTCAGGATCAAAGATTGACCATTTTCATCTTGCAAAGAATCAAACAATGAGGCTCTGACAGTCAGGGAGAAGACAGAAAAACAGATACATTAGACATAGAATATAAACCAATATTTACCTTGGGAACAGAAGAATAGGTTTTCTATAATATTTTATATGAGACTTATTATGAGATATTGATCCAATTTCACAGTCTCAATTGTCCTATTTTTTGGATGCGTACTAAGTGTGTATCTTTCACTTTGCTTTCTCAGTTAACCACCTGCTGATGCTTCCACCTGTATGCTGGAGATTGAAGTGTATCTCAAACTCAGGATACACACAAAAAATTGTCATTTTCCTCCTGAAATCACCTCTTCTAGACTTCATATTTTCGTTTCCTTACCTTTCAAGATGAAATATTGCATCATCCTGATTATGTTCCTGTCTTCTATTAACTTACATTAAACCATATCCATTGCCATCTTATCAATTCAAACTCTTCTCTCTCCTATAAGTGATTGATGGTTTTGAATTACTAATCTTGTGGTTAGCAGTCCAATGCTTAACCTACAGTGCCACTAGGGCTCCTTTTAATCAACATAGACGATTAATTATCAAGTTCTGGGAAATAGTCTACTGCTACATTATTTTCACAAATTTGCAACTCTTTCGTCCCATTCTTCCTACAACTGCTTACACTCCCAACACTTCATTCCATGGATTATAATAGCCTCTTTCCCCATTAATCTTACTCTATCATTTTCTTCTCCTTTAAACTGCTATTATCCATGCTGCCTGAAAACTTATCTCTGTATGCACCCCCTCCTCTCATGGGAGTTGTTTCCAGAGAATAAAGACAAAATGGTTATGACTAGCCTTGAAGGCTTTCCATAATCTGGTTGCCTCAGATTTATCTAGCTCCTATGATATTGTTGACTTCTATTCTTTGTCTTCATTCATTTCCTCTTTTCACACATAGTTATTATATTGTAGACACTGTGCTAAGCCCTGGGTATAAAAAAAATAAACAATGACTTTGCCTCAGATTATAAAAAGCTTAAGAATAGAGGTGAAAAGTCTGACATATTAAAATAACTTCAATGTAGGCTGGGAGGGGACATGGAAGATTTAATGATGAGCCAATGACAGATATGCATGAAGAAAATTGAGTGAAAGTTCACTGAATAGGTTTGGATAGATGTTTCTGGCAGAAAGAGCTGAATACATGAGTGGAGCTGTTGTGATTAAGGAGTAATATTGAATGTCTGGAAAATAGGTAATATGTTAGAGAGTGAGGAGGGGATGGATGACTTCAGATAAAGGCACCAAACCATAAACCAAACTCACATTGAGTCCATTCTGACTCATAGTGACCCTGGAAGACAGGGTAGAACTGCCCCTGTGACTAGCAGCCCAACCCACCAGCCCACCTCACTTACCACAGGATTCCGAGAACTAGATATGCAATAGGAAATTTATAAAAGGTTATCTTTGTTGTCCTTTCATTTTAAGTCTACTGCCTTAGCACTGCCAGTCTCTATGGAAGTGCTTAGGCTGGCGAGAGTGGATCTGCCGGTGGCTGTCTGACTAGTTACTCCGCAGATGGGTTTGGGGCTCCCACCATACCCCATAGCCCTCCACAAATTGGATGTTCATAATTTTTGCTCTGGTGCTTTTCTCCTCATCACATTCAAATTTTATGATTGTCATCTTTGGATCATACACTCTGTATGCTTCTTTGGTGTGGACTTAGTTGACTCCTCACTTAGGTAGCTGCTTGCTTGAACAGAAGCCTTGAAGACTCTAGGCACTCTTCCAATTGACAGCTGGGCATCATCTGCTTTCTTCACCACACTTTGCTGTAGCACCCTTGTCTTCAGTGATCATGTCATGAAGGCGAGTATGTAGTAGGGCCATGATGTAAGAACTGATTGTTCATAAGTTGGAGCTAGGATTTAGTGCGAGCCCAGAACTTTCCCAAGGCTGCAGGACACAGTGAGAATCTGTATTGCCAGGTTGTCAAAGTATGACTTCCCAGACCTTCCCTGAAATTTGAATTCAATAGCTCTAGAAATCCTCAATTTGCATATTATATAAATGTCCTGGGGCTTCTGATTAAGGTTATCCTCCAATCACACTTGGAGGAGCCATAACACCTACAACAAACAAAACTCCACTCATTTATGACATCAAGTGTGCTACTTGAACTTGCCGCTCCCTTTCTGTTTAACTTCTGTTTTTGCTAACTTATGACTCAGTTGGCTGCAAAATATTAAAGTGCAGGTATTTCTCCACTAATTCAGTGTTCTTCCTTCTTTCTAAACTGTCTTCCGTACAATTTTTTATCTGCTACGTTAGCTACTAATCCAGAAGGGGACTCTTTGACAATACAGTGTTTCATGTTTACGTGTGTTCTTCGTATACAACAGGAGCATAATAAATATTAAAGGATCGTGATCACACTCTTAAAAATGATGTAAGCTTATCCACAAAGAGCTTCTGAGTCACTTCCACTTCCTACTTGTCCTCCACTCTGCAAAGTTTTCACTTGTAGTTCTCTTCATACTATTTGGTCATGGGAGGAGACCCGGATGCTAAATATAGGTTACTTGGCACCAACGATTCGAATACTGAAAAATAACATTCAGATTCTGAGAGATTCAATGATAAACATACTTTTTCTCTTTCTTATTTTTTCTCTCTTCAAATGTCATTTGCTGCTCTTCAAAACTTCAAAACATTGAAATCAAAACAAAACCTAAACCTGTTGCCATCAAGTTGATTCCAACTCAGAAGGACCCTTATAAAACAGCAGAACTGCCCCCATTGGATTTCTCAGGCCTTAAATCTTTAGGGAAGCCACTACCACATCCCACAAAGCTGCTGCTGGGTTTGAAATGCTGTCCTTTCAGTTAAGAGTCAATCTCTTAACTCCCCTGACAATAGGGTTCCTTCTGCTGCTGCTGTGCTTGAATTGTGGAACCTCCGGGAGTGAGCAAGATGCAATAAGTATAAGCCTTGCATGACTACGCTTTTTCTAATAATATCTTTCTCATCCACACCTTTCACTTACAGGCCAGTCATCTCTCCGAATTCCCGTACTGCTTTGCCACTATGGATAATTGCCCTCATTGTGTTTGGAGTTTTGGCAATTCTGGGAATAACCATTGGTCTTCTGGTTCATTTTCTGGCAATAGGTTGGTAAAGAATAATTTCTTATTTATTTTAGTTTTCTATGAACTTTATTTCCAAATTTGAAAAAATGGAAACAGTTGTTACCAATGAATTTTCTCTTTCAAATGCTATTAGTTTATTATAATGAATTGTTTTTAGAGAATAATGAATTTATTGTCTTTGTAAAATTTTAATGCTCATTAAAATAAAACTCCTACAGAGACATTGAAAGAGAAGAAGGAAGACTGCGGAGATGGAAGGAAGGGAGGAAAGAAGGACGAAAAGAAGGGAGGGTGGCAGGAAGAGAAGAGGAGAGGAAGGAAGAAAGGGAAGGTCTCATATCCCAGAAGCGCTCCCAATAACAGAGGGCCAAACACCGTTGCAGCGCCTTTCTCATACAGATAGGGGAAAGACTGGATCTGAGCATGGACTTATGAATGGCTAGATGGTAATTGATAGACAGGCAGAAAAACCAATTCCACCAAGATGGTACAGTCATATTACTATTAACATATCAATATTATTTTATGTGTAGAAGGGAAACTGAGGAATAATGAATCTTAACTAATTGTTTTACTTAACAAAGGCATGGATACAAAAAATATCACCTTATCATAAAGGAAAAAATAAATGGAGGAAAATGAGAGTTGCTGTTATTTTTTAAACGGTGTTTTCCCTTCAGAATTTATCTCAATTACACCCTGCGATTAAAAAATATATATACTAATTTTTCACTCACACCTCCCAGTGTTTTGTGAGCATTATCCTTTTTTGCATTGTCAATATGCATAACACTTCATTTTGGTTTGTAATAGTAATTCTCAAAATTGTTTACTTTTGCATGTATAATTAAATGAAGCATATGCCCATCATCAGTTCTTTTCTATGAAAATGCCATGCCTGAGCGTTGCTTTATATTTTTCTTCAGAGCTATATATACTCATACTTAACAGAGTCATATAGTTAGAACTTTTTACTAAAAATCCACTACTTCTGCTTCCCAATTTTCAAAGGCAACCACTTTCAACTTGTAAAGTGGAATTTTAGTAGTGTTGTTCCCTAACTTTTCAATTATTGGCATATCTATTTATTTTCTACTATGTAAGATAAAAATTATGCACTCTCTTACACCTCTTTTACCAGATGACATCTGGGGATTTCACTTCAGCAACATTTTAGGAATAATCTTTACTTTATTTGGAATTAATCCCTCAATGTGTGGATTCTATTACTTTACCATACATATTGTAGGGTAGAGTATATATTGCAGGTGACTTTTGTGAAAAAATCAGGAGAAATATTTTGAAAACTCAAATGTTTGAAAATCTTTATAAAATATATCTGATATATATATACGTATATATATTACATACGTTTCATAAATTCATGTTGTATTATGAAATGTGCTGGCAGGATGTTGTTTTATTCTTAGGAACCATCCAATTAGCTCCAAACGATAAGGCCATTACTCCTAACAAAGCAAACACGGCCTGGCCCTGTGTCACGTTCACAGATGCTGGAATA